TAGAATAGAATAGAATAGAATAGAATAGAATAGAATAGAATAGAATACTTTTATTGGCCAAATGTGATTGGACAAACAAGGAATTTGTCTTGATGCAAATGCTTTCAGTGTACATAAAATAACCTCATTATGGTAGATGTAGGGTTCCACCTTCTGATTCTATATTTTCAGAATTTATTGTGTATACTTTTTTATAAAAAAAATAGGACATTGTTCATCTCTTCCATACATATCCAAATATTCTTCTAAAAAATCCGATGGACTTTCTATTACACCTAGAAACCTGAATATTTAGAATGGGTTTCAGGTGGGCCAGCATGAAACTATAATGGAACTGATGAGATAAAAACGTTATTCCTCTGTTATTTTGGTCCTCCGGTATGTCAGAGGATCTGTTCTTCACGTTTGGCAGGTTCCATGCTTAGCTCAATTACTTTTAATTAAAAACCACATGTAAAAATGCCATGCTGTAAAGCCAAGCCCCAAGTCTGTAGCCCCATTTAAAGACTGTAGTCTCAAGAGTGCTTCCTGACTCTTTATACCCTATACTATGGAAACATTCTTATGAAATAAAATGATAAGGAGTTTGCAACCCAATACATGATCTTCCCAGAATAGGACAAGGTCAGCAGAAGTGGCAAAGAGCATGTAAGAAAACTAAAGCAGGTGATTGGGAATATTCTCCTTTGCTTTCCTTCTGGTAAATCCCATCTACGATGCCTGGTAATTCCTAAAAATGCCCGTAAAGTGCTTTCAGAATTTACCGGCACAAAAAATATGAATACCTCTGCTCTGCCAGATGGTTGAGTATTAGTGTGACACCCATAAAACCTTGATGATAATTGCCTCATTAGTTTTCATCTGCAACCCAACAGGACAGACACAGATTTCAGAGGATAATTAGGACTGCAGAAAAAAACAATTACTACCAACCTGCCTTCCATCGAGGACGTGTATCTTGCGCGAGTCAAAAAGAGGGCTGTGAAAATATTTACAGACCCTTCACATCCCAGACATAAGCTGTTTCAACTCCTTCCCTCAAAATGATGCTATAGAGCACTATACACCAGAACAACTAGACACAAGTACAGTTTTTCCCGAATGCCATAACAAATAATTCTCTCAACACTGTCCAACTATTTACAAAGTCTGCACTACTATTACCATTAACCTTCTCATCACTCCTTATCACCCATCCCCTCCCACTTGTTACTATATGATGTAACTTTGTCACTTGTATCCTTACAATCTACATCGATTGTTTCCTAGTATGATTTGATTGCTTATTGTACCCTATGACTATCATTAAGTGTTGTACCTTATGATTCTTGACGAATGTATCTTTTCTTTTATGTATACTGAGAACATTTGCACCAAGACAAATTCCTTGTGTGTCCAATCACACTTGGCCAATAAAGAATTCTATTCTGCTCTATTCTATTCTATTTAAAAGGCTGAAACAAGAGAGCTTACTAGCCTGTTTAGGAAAACTCAGTTGATTTTAGTAACACTTCACCCAGACTTAATTTCGAATGGGTAACCTGTTGATCACAGCTGAATTTGCTTAATATATTCCTGTTGTTAAAAACTTGCAAGAGAAAGTGCTTACCGTCGTGTTGTGTGTTCTCCTTCATCCGGTCTTGTGGCAATCCCAGAGGTGAAACTTTAGGTTTGTTGTAGATGATCCAGAAGTTGCCCTGTTCAAGGAAGCAACTCGCATATGTAACTGTCCAGATTAGGAAGAAGTAACCTAGATATTGCTTCTGTCTCAGACCTCATGATATTCTTGCTTGATCTTTGTGCTTCCTCTTGAGGTTGCTCTAGTCCTTTGTTGAATGTCAATTCCACACCTCTGCCTTTTTAAAAAAATGAGTATGCTTTGTGGCTTGGTGCTTCTTTTATCTATAAAACCCTGTACTATCATTCTACTGATAGTAGTGCCCTAAGATTTTCACAACCACACAGATGGGCTTATCTTTGCTTCAGCTGGAACCCACACAAAGTAATTTAGTTATGCAAATATCTATGCAGACGTGTTCACGGGATATTTGGCAAGATGATGCAAATCAGTAAATGAAGCTGGTATGTTGGTGTATCCAATTATCAACCTTGCACAAATGGTTACAACTTCCAAGTGGCCTATATTAACTATAAATGGGATTGTATGAGGAATGTACAGTTTGTCTAGGGTGGGAATTAAGGACACTATTAAGCTCTAGAATACCATGTGGGTCACCGCACTCCAAAAATGAGCATGAAAAAGGACACAGAAGTATGATATGATATGATATGACATGCTATGGCATGCTATATGATGTAATCCATAGAATTGAGAAAGGATTGATGGGATGATATCTTCATTCAAAACAGTTGATGTATATAACCCAGTATTTATTTTAGGATTTGTGGGTTTCTCCACAGTATTGGCCATTGGCTTCAGTGGACAAAGAGTGACATAGGAGATTCTAACATCTGTCACTTTGTCCATCCATATCCATCCATCTGAAACACAGGCAAAGGCAAAGAAAATTCTACTCATAATGGCTTGAGAATCTTAGTCAATATTCCCCGGATCCTAGGAAAGAAAAGTTGGATGCCATTGAGGTTGATCTCCCTCAGATTCCTTCTTCATGAATGTTTTGCACACTTTAACAATTATTTCAACCTGGCTTTCAGAATTTTGTATAGACAGTTTTATATTTAGTAGAATAAAACTTAAACAAGGGTTGCTTGTGCTTATTCTATAAATTCATAAGATATTTGTTCAATAGCCAAAATAATTTGAACTGAAAATATTGGAGGAGAGGGACTCATATTCAAGAAATTGTACATAATGTTACATTTAGACAAATTATTAACTACATTTCCTGCATGATGGTTTCAGTTCATTGCAAATTGTATTTTTAAGCAAAATTCTTTACACTGCACCACATGTTGTGATCTAAGCATGTTTGTTCTTTAAAATGTATATATGTACGTACAGTTTTCCCTGTCAGTCATGTCCAACTGTTAAGTACAGTGCTCATCTCCATTTCTTGACCGAAGGAACCAATATTGTCCAAAGATAATTTCCATGGTCATGTGGCCAGCATGGCTATATGCCAAAGGTGCTCGAATGCTTTTACCATCCCACCAAAGAGGTACCTATTGATCTACTTGCATTTGCATGCTTTCAAACTACTAAGTGGGCAGGAGTTGGAGCAAGGAGCTCATCCCATTGCGTTGTGCTCACATCTCAAACTTGGGCTGTCAGCTCCCCAGCTGACAAGTTTAGTGTCTTTAACCACTGAGCCATGTGCCTTACAAACACACACACACACACACACACACACACACACACAATCTTAATTTTAATTCTAGAAATTTTGAAAGATGTTATCTCCCATTTTCTTTTTATTTTGTGTCTCTAGGGATTCAGATTTGTTCTTACTTGATACTCGTACAATTTGGGCTGAAGAAGAAGGTTGGCTAGTATTTGATATTACAGCAACTAGTAATCACTGGGTGGTAAATCCACAGCACAATCTTGGCCTACAGCTATCAGTGGAGAGTATAGATGGTGAGTATCAGAAAACAACATTTTGGCAGATCTTTTACAATTTGTGCTGGGGACAATTACCAGTTGTATTTAGACATGGTGTTACTTATGACCATTTCATTCACCCCATGGAGATTTGAGTCTGGATGGAATGGTTTTGAAGGCATTTTGAAATTCTATCTGTAACATAAGCTCACGTTAAATAGGAACTAGACAACAGTGATCTATTTGGTCAATATTTCAGAGACATTTTCTTACTTAAACAGGGAAACAGAATGACCAAGGGCAGAAAATCAATGAGAATGAGAATGATTTCTGACTTCCTGCTAGCTTTTCTCATGGTTGACTACCTTTGACAGCCATTGGTGGGATTGATCTACCCAGCCTCCAGAAAGCTAGGATGGAAGTGGTCTATTGAACTTCTGGATGGCAGTACATCAGCACTACAGCTTTTTCCAAATTTCAATTCCATGGGAGTCATATGTCCTGGATTTTGGACACATTGTTAAGTTCGCCCAATTGAATTAAATTGATTCAAAAATTGTTGCCCTATAATGCACTGTTCCACCCAGGTTAGGTTATAGACATAGTATATAGATCACAATTTCTATTCTTTGATAATTAAATCCAACAATGGTAGATAGAAGGAAGGAAGGAACAATGGCGGAAGGAAGGAAGGAAGGAAGAAAAGAAAGAAAGAAAGAAAGAAAGAAAGAAAGAAAGAAAGAAAGAAA